TGGCTAGGGTTTAGGGTTCAGGGTGAGCGTTTCCTCTTGATCAGAAGACGTGGTCTGGTCGGCTCCTTCCACTGAGCGTGGAGTTGCACTCCCCTGTGCGCAGCTCAGATTTCCCTAAACCCTAAACTCTAAACCCTTACAAGAAGAGTGTCTTTGGCAAATGACGGTCCATCAGGGCCACGACAATGTTAGCTCAATCTGGGCAGACCTTGCAAAATCCTGTTTGAATGAAGCAGTTTTTCAGGCCGGCTTATGTATCCTTAAGGCACTACACATTTAATTTAGACAGACAGCCAGGCAGGCAGACAAACAGTCAGTCAGTCAGAGAGACGTACATGCGCAATCACAACATACATAGGCATGTTCAGACATAGGGCTGATGGGCGCTACCCTGCCTGCCGCGCGACCTTCACAGCCTCTGCTGCATTCCGCCTGGCAGCATGTAGATGGGAATTAGAACCATGTTTCAAGAGCAAACGCAGGTCGTCGGAGTCTCCATGTTGCTATGTTGCACTAAACCCTTTCTACACTAAACTAGAGTGCCCACAGCTGACCTTTTTACACTAAACTAAAGGAAGACTTCGAGTTGAGGTGCAGCCAGGGCCGACGACAGCCAGCAGTCTCAGGCTGCTGCGCAAGTGAAATTAGCTTTGAGAAGATGTCCACTGTCTGACTTTTGAGCATGCTTCTTCAATATCTCCTGGGGTCAAACTCTCATTTCAAATCTTGGGTCCTCTCGGACGCGTGAGGGGCCCGAAGCACTCAGGCGCAGAGCCCTAAGAACCACAGCGGCAGCATGAACCTGTTCCGTAAACCAGGGTCTTCTTGATCAGGTTGTTCATGAAACTCGTTGAATGTATCCCGTCTTGGCCTCACGTTCTAAAGGTTCTCTGCAAGACTCGAACCAAGTGATGTTGTGACATGTTGCGACCATGGAGCACCCGGCACGTGTCCCCTGATGCTGACCGATGCGCTCTCGGTATTCGACTGGTCTGCATCGATCATCTCCAAGTCCGTATCGAAATCTGGCGCTACGATGAGGTCGGGAAGTCGGCAGTGTGCTCCCGGCAAAGAGCCGACGAACATGAGGTCCGAGATGCCAACCCCGTTTGGGTAGACTCGCTCCCAGATGTCCCTGTCCAAGTCCTTCACGATCTTGGCATCAACTACAAGAACCTTCTCACCTTCACAGGCTGGCTCGAAAGCAAACGAAAGAACCATAATATAGCGGCCTTAAAAATTGGTGATAAGAATAGGGTTTTGGGGTATATCTTGCTATAACTATCATAAGGAACCCTTGGTATGTACTTAGGCCCCCAATATGGCCCTATATTGGGTGGCGGTGTTTACGAAGGTCGCCTCATGGTGCAGGCCGAAATGCTGAGCCACACAGGGCTCCTTTAACAGCCTCGTCGACCGCTTGCTTCTGCCCAAGATGTGGCAATGCCCAGACCTTCCAAAATCCTTTGATTAAGTATTATACCTATATTATGCCTTAAGTTATAGCAAGATCTCTAAGATGATTTAAGGTATAAGTATATTTCTTTTTGCAGGAAGTTTGGAAGGTCTCGGTACTTCGCAAAAGCTCCGGAGGCTCTCGGCTTCCTTCGTCGACTCGAAATGGCGAAAACCAAATGACGCCGTTCTCCTGCATCTGTGCCATGATGTTCCGCATCTGGGCCGCCACTCCTTCTCCGAGCCCTGCTTTAGGTCCGTCCGCTCTGTGGCATTGATGATCAGCGGAGCGGTGTAGCTGATCGGAAGGTCTGCATGCTGATGGTGTCGACGTCATCAGCATTCCAGATTGTCGCTGCACAGCTGGGCGGTGCAATGCAGCGCACCTGAGAGGTCTCCTGCCTTCCGCTCACAGCCTGGCTCACGGCCCAATGTAAAGCTTGGCCAAATCTCAAGCGTGCACCTTCCTCGAATGGCAACTACCGTGCCAGTTGCCCACGACCGCCGAGGAGCCGGCTGGGATTTTGGAGGCTCATGAGGGTTCAAGCACCCGCCGCGGCTCCCACAGCAGCGACCGCATGTCGCTCGTGCCGACAGCCTGAACACCGTCCCTTCGAAGAGAGCTTGAGCAGAAACGCATTTTGGGTTCAAGTCGTTCTGAGTAGGGTAAGCAGCGTGAACTGTCAATCACTGCACCGAAAGTGCATCATCGCAGTCTCGCAGGGCTTTAACTCAAGACGCCCATGCTTACTCCCAGCATAAGTCCGTCTGTGTGATGCTTTGTAGGACTGGATATCTTATTCAGCCGGAATGCTGGGTGACGTCTATAGGATGACAGAACAAGGCAGTTATGCGCACTCCAGACCAGGCGAAGCACAAGCGCACACAAGCCTCAAGCCCAGCTTGTACTACAGAGCTCTGATTCATGATGAATTGAGCTTGGCTACTGACAGCAGCTGCCAGAAATCCCCAAACTTAAACCGGCCATAGAGCCCACCTGAGCGAGTCAAGGTCGGCTAAAGCAACGTCCAAGGTGGCACCTGTGGCCTGGACTGGGCGAAGATTCTAAAACTGAGGCCCTCCAGTACCGGAAATCTTCACACCCTAAACAAAGGATGCTTTAAGAAGGGATTCTATAAGGGCTCTTTAGGGGTACCAGAAGGGCATAGGGGTGTTTCGTGAGTCCCTGAACTGCTGAGGGCCAACTTATATAGGCATGGGACCCCCCTAAACCTTGTTCTGCTTGCTCACGCTCTGCTGTACCAAAATGGACACTACAACAAGGCACGACACTCACTTTTGCTGCGAAGGGCACCAGAGCAGTAGCCACGAAGGCAGTCGTTTTCAAAAGTTCGACCTGCCTCTCG